ATGAAATAGAGGGAAACGCAACTTGCTGTTGGGCTTTGTCTTTGTTTCCATCACATTGCACAGAAATGAAGCCCATTACCAAGGAAACAACAACGTCACTTCCCATCCATAATTTATAGACAAATTATATTAATATAATGTGCTTATTCACTGTTACTACCCTATAAGCACCATGTGATTTAACACCTTTTTTTAAGGGTCTCTGTCAGACTGTCACCCCAGATATGGCAGTGATAACACGGGCAATCGGTTCGTGTGTTGCCACGAGACATAGGTAAGCCTTGCTTCGTGTTTAAGTGTCTTAACATTCACATTTCCAACCTATTTTTCCAAGAAATGATAGACATGATCAATGGACTTTACATGTTCCCTCTTATCAAAAACCGAATTATTATTATGGCTTCAATAAATATCTGGAAACGATTTTGAATAGAATATAAAAAAAAGGTTGAATTTATATATCACTCAATTTATTTTTATTTGACTGTTATAGTACTATAAAAGTTTTGTATAATTATAAATCTACTTTTTTTAAAATCAAGAAACTATAATTTTTTTTTTTGGTAAATAACTATAAATTTAATTCCTACATCCGTTTCCCTAAATTTATTTGTTTACCTAAATCTTTTTAAATTTCAGAATTTTTATATCTTTTTAAATTAAAAATACCATCACCTAACAGCTTCAGTAATTATAACGTTACGAGTTCGATCCTCATCACCTATACTATATAGTGAAATTAAATAATACAAGATAAAATAAAAAATTAGGCATGTATAATATCTATATTTCAAATTCAAAGAACTCTTATGATGAGAAAATATATTAGAAAATAATATAAATTATTAAAAATATTATCACCTAAACCCTCAAGAGTAACTCAGTTGGTAACTGAGCTTCTTGAGTCAGGGGTATGAACTCTGACTCAAGTAAATTCTTGAAAAATCTTTATAGGTCAGAGAATATGTCTCCCTCCTCAGAGGGCCGTACTCCGAGAACAAGATGATGGATACCTCGACTCTAGGTTACACGAAAAAAAAAATGTTATCACCTAACAATTTAAGGCTCTTGCGAATGAGAATATTCGGGTTATAACATAAGAAGAGTTTTCTCAATTAATTTATGGGTTTTGCATTTATCATTTGACATGAGGTTAGAAAAATTCCTACACACACATAATTCAAATGGGTTCCACCATAAACAAAAGATAAAAAATGAAAAAAATATTGCACGCAAAACGATCTCTCACTAACATGAAAAAACAATTCTCCTAGGAGAAAATATTTTTCCTTAATTTATAACAGATAGTAAAAAGTAAGCAAAAATCCGCAGCATATACCAAAACTGCCATTCGTATATACCTTGAAGATTCTTTAGTGGGCAAGATTCTAGTCCGTATCCATTGTTTATTACACTAAATAATAAAATTATTGCTACGTACCAATATTGATGACCTGCTGTACCGTGACCTCATTCCTTCTTCCTTGGGCAGCAGAAAACCCCAGTTATACCAAGAGTTTTTAATTTATAATAGGGAAAAACAAGTATCAGGACAATCCTTTATAATATAGTCTCCACTTTTATTGACATTTTTGTTTTTGAGTTACAAGAAGAACAAGGATATCGTTCTCTTCTGGCACAAGTTCCACCGCTAAATGGACTTACTCGGAGCAACGAATTTTTAATATTACAATTTTGATGTCTATCCTGTTCAACAAGCTGTATCAAGTGGTAAATTACAGTCATTTATTTAATTATCAACATATCTAGTAACTATTATTTAAAGGTCTGTCAATACACCTATCTTTAGGAAATCCACGGTAAATGAAGTTATGTCTTTCTTGAATCAAAATAATCTACCGTTGTTTTTTATTTATTATTGCGGATCTCAACTTTTAAATTTTATCATTTTTGTGTAAAAAAAACACATAATTAAGGATTGTTGGTCGTTAAATTACAAGTTACAACTACGTTTGGTGCAGTCAATTTTTCTAAATTCCAAACGTGATGAATGATGATGTGATACGGTGTGATATGGAAGGGGAACCAGAAACAAATGGACGAGGAACCTTTTCCTGAATTACCATCTTAGCATTTTAAGATAGTCACGTGACAAGCCTATCTTTTCGGAAAAAGACACGTGATGTGGCTGCATTATTTTATTTTAAAAGTATTTTTTTAACATTTTTAGTAATTTACTTTTTCTCGCGGCTCGTGTGTACGAGATGGCTCCTTCCTACTTCTCCGCATATGAGTTAAAGAAACTTCGAGGAAGTGACGCCGTCGCTATATAAAAAATATATAATATCTCAAATTGTCCAATAGAAAAGAAAGCAGAGGTCCAATCTCCAATGGATTTGGACCACGCCAGCGGAGTGGTATTAGAAGGACGATGGGACTCTAATGCATTAAGGAATAGATTTATTTGTTTTTAATATTTTGCATCTAAAGCACTTTTTCTTTGGATACATTATTTCCCCACACCAATTATGGAGTTTCGAAATTTACTTAAGCTTAAGCATAGAATGATTTTGAGGAAAGTACAATGGGAATATAATAATTTTTCTTATGTTCTATTTGGTATGAATAAAAATGAAATAGTAGTATTATTTCATTTTTACATTTAATATGTTGTAAATTAATGATTTTTTAATTTTTCAATTTTTTTTTTTAAGTTAAGCAGCCTAAGTTGGATCTGATTTTTGACTCACCGGCATTGGAAATTTTCACTAATCCATTTATCTATATCCCGATAATTTTCAATGTTCTGTATTCCAAATATGACGATACCATATCAATCTATAAATTATTTATCAATTAATCCTCAAATACAATAGGAGAAGAAAAAACAAAACAATTGTATTATAAGCAAAATGATTCTTCGATTTCGGTTTCAAATTGTCAATTGGTGCCATAGTTAAGTTGAACACCTCATATTAATTGATTTAGGTGTTTGATGATATTAAAATCAATCTTTAACAGATACATAGATCCATGTTAAAGAAATAATATAAAAACTAATTCAATTCAAAAATTTAAAGTAGAGACCCATTTAATTAAGTTATTAGATGAAGATCATGTTAACGATATCAATTATATTTTTTTTAATAAATTGATTGTTTTGACAAAATTGTTGTATTTTTTTTTTTTTGATAACACAAAATTGTTGTATTTAATGTTAAAAAAGTATCGAAAACCAATTATTCCTGAAATTCAAGTTATTATATATATATATATATATATAATTTTTCTTAAAAAAAGTCTAAATGCAATAGCTTGGAATTTTCATGAGATTTTTTTTTCCATCTGTATATATAAAAGACTTCTCATGAGATTAAATAATCTCCCGAACACTCTAATGTGCATAAAAAACAATTAGTACATGTGATGCAGCACGTCACAAGATTTTATCTGGATGCAAGTGGGAGAAACTGAGCAATTGTCTACTATGATATTCACTAGCTAATGCCATGGATTCTTACTAACATACCACTTTCGCCTATTGTGCGTGTAAAAGGCGGTAACATTAATCATGGTTACATAGTTGGCGTTTAAGGCAAGTACTAGCGACTAGCAAGGTAATCTCAAATCACCACAGTAGTTTATGTTAGTGAGTAAATTTTCATAACTGTATATTCTCTTAACTATTTTTTGCGGCAAATAAATGTGTCAATTAGTGTGCTCTAATCCCAAAAGAGGCGGTAATCCGCTCGGCCTCAACCTGCTTTAAAATAACCCAATCCAATCAACCTGCTTTTGAAAGTGTGGTGCAAATTTTAACCCATTTTATCCGCTAACACATTAAAAAGTGATTTTTTTTTTTTAAATTTATAATCTCCATAAAGATAAAAGGTATTAAACGAAGACAAAAGAAAGTATGAAAAATTTAAAAATAAAATAAAAAATCAATCTGGTGGGTCAATCTGGAGATCATCTTCTGTACATCTGTAGTAGGTACATCTGTCGTTCAATAAGTAATACTTGAATAAAAAAAATATTTTTCTCTCCTTTCCGTATAAGCATCACAGGCATTTCTCATTTTTTATTAGATAGATGCACTGAGTGAATGGTACAACAGTAGTACCGTAAATATTTCTGTCAATCTGCCCCACCACAGATTGAATATATTTTGATCTATCTTTAAATGAGACGGGTTCAAGCGAATTGGTAGGTTGAGAATTCCAACCTAGGCCGCCACAAAAAAAGCCAACTCGACAGATTGGATCTATTTTGTCACCTCACCAATTTTATTTTATTTTATTTTGAAAAGTGTGTGTCATTTTAAAAGATGTAAAGTTGTATCATTTAAAGGGAGAAAAAGAGATAGATATAAATTGTGTCATTTAAAAGCATATACAATTTTCCTTTTTTTTTTTTATAATTCAAACTTACACCAATTTATCCGCTGATATTCATATAGCCGTCACCAAATTAACTAATACATTGAGCGTATCATTTTATCTCAATATCCTTGATCTCACGTTATTAGATTTCTCCACAAATTTCTTTATATGATTATTTTTGCATATAAGCCAATATCTTCCAAAAAAACTTCACTATCCTACTATTGTAGGTACTAATGAAGTATTCCTACAGATTCTACTATAGTTATGGCAAAAAGATTTTCTTGATCCCATGATTACGGGTGACGAATTATTTTTATTGATTCTATCATAATTATAAAATCTCCAATATACATCTAACCCTAATTGCATGCTTGAGCATACTGCACTGGTCTCAGGTATTGACTTGTCTACAAATCTCTATTGCTACATTCTGCCTCATTTTGTCAATAAAACACCAAAATTAGTCATTTTAACGCAATCACAAGGCGATGAGTGTAATTTCAATTTTTTTTTCATGTGAATAGCCACTTTTTTAGTCATAATCCTCTCTCACTGTCTCGTTCTCGATATATCATATTATCATATCGCTGGCTTGAAATTCTCAGGGCCCCAACAACACAGTAGTTCGATAAAACCGAAACTGAAAGAGGGGGAAAAATTCGACAAGGATTCAGCAACAGCAGTGAAGCTGTGTTCCGGTGCTCTGTTCCCACTTGTTTCGATTTCTCGTTGGTTTAGGTCTCCTGTCTCGCCTTGTGTTACATTAGTTGCAGCACAGTAAAAACGTTTTACTCAGCAAACAACAATCACCAATCCTTCTGAAACATTGGATAGCGTTGAATTAGAACCACAGCAACAACAACAACAACAAGATTATGGGCATACTACAGGACGATGTGGTGATTATCAGGCAGCCAGAGAACGAAGATGAATCGACCGTGATAACTGTGAATTGCCCTGACAAGACTGGTCTAGGTTGTGATTTGTGTCGCATCATACTCTTCTTTGGTCTTAGCATTGTCCGAGGAGGTAAACCAGCTCTTCAATATTCATATAAATACATATAGAGACACACACAGATACATACTTACACCTACTTTTCTTTCCTAAGATGTTAAGGTCGTACTGGAGATAACATGAGTCTGGGATTCATTCAAAATCTAATCTTTCTCTTCCGTTTTTGTTATTTATGTGAATTTTGAGATGTGGGTTTGTGATGTCTTTGACTCTTTGAGATTTTGAGACTGAATTCATTTGTTTCATTTTCATGCAATGAAGACGTATCCACCGATGGGAAATGGTGCTACATAGTTTTCTGGGTGGTGGGGAAACAAAAGACGAGGTGGAGTTTGTTGAAGAAGAGGCTAATTGGGGCATGCCCTTCTTGTTCTTCAGCTTCTGGTATTTCTTATTACCGCTCTGACTTGCAGCCGCCAAAGCCTCCGGATGTGTTCCTTTTGAAATTTTGTTGCCATGATCGTAGAGGCCTTTTACATGGTGATTTTTGAAACTGCTTTTTTAAATTAGCACCCTACATGTTTGTTGTCTTGCTCTTGCCGTCTTTCAGATAGAGATTTGGGACTTCATGGTTGTTATTTTTGTAGCTTTCCATCTTGGTGTTGTTTCCTCCCACACTTGTGTTCCCAATTGTTGTGGGGTGGTAAACGGGTCTTAGGGTTCTTTTTGATTGTTGTGAAATTCATGCTAAAAGGAAAATGAACTGACAGCCTTTACAATGGCAATTGATGTCATCCTCAAAAACACTTTCCATTTCTAAAGCTTCATTGTGTATTATTCGTGGATTCTCTGCCTTCCTTGAATTTTTCCTATCTTTCTAGATATATTGATTATAAGTTATCTGGCTAAAGCTTCATTTGTTTTATTCATGGGTTGACAAAATAACTGAATGTCTTCGTTATTGGGACAGATGTTACAGAGGTTCTTTGTGAGCTGGAGCTCACCATAAAAAAAGTGAAGGTATCAACTACACCTGATGGCAAAGTGATGGATCTGTTTTTCATCACGGATACAAGGTTGCACATTTCTATACATATATATTTTTGGAACAAGCTTGTGTTGTGATTTGGTACCCTCCAATTGCTAGTTCGTTTCAACCGAAGTTTCTTTATCTATTTACTAGGACTGTGGATTTGCTGAGCTGGTTTGCCAAGTGTTCTTTTAATAATAAAAAAATGGAATTTCAACGGGACTAATAAGTTAGCTAAGTTGAAAAGTCGATATAATCACTCTTGCGAAATTTTGTGTCGAGAAACTGTCAACCTGATAGTAATCCTATCCTATTCTAGTAAAATCTTTTTTGGTTTGCTCAGGGAAATGTGCTACTTATGTTCCTAAGTTTTTTCTATGGCAAGCATCTAAAATGCATTTTATGAGAACGGAGGCTTATTTGCTGGTGTACAATATGTGCATTTCATGATAATACCATCTGCTTTTAGCTTACTAACTAACCTACTGTTTAATCTTATGTATACGTGTATATATCAGGGAACTTCTACATACAAAGAAGAGAAGGGATGACACAATTGAACAGTTAACAGCTATTTTGGAGGATGCCTTAATTTCCATTGATATTGAATTGGTTGGCCCAGAAATTACTGCTTGTTCTCAAGCATCTTCATTCCTTCCAAATGAAATCACAGAAGATGTCTTCGATTTGGAACTGCCTGATTCAGTTCGAAGTGGGACTTATACATCAGATTCTGTTTCTATTGCGATGGACAACTTGTTGAGTCCTGCTCATACGCTTGTCCAAATTATGTGCCAAGATCACAAAGGTCTTCTTTATGACATCATGAGAACTCTGAAGGACTACAATATTCAGGTATAGCAATTTCAAATCTGAATAATACAATATTATTGAATCATGTTTTTAGGCTGCTACGAAATGTTGTTCCTCTGTGATTGGAAAGTCAGGATTCGAGTCTGAGCAATAACCTCTTAGCAAAAAATGTAAGGGTAAAGTTAGATACAATCGACCTTAATCCTTATCCTCCCAAAATCGGGGAGCCTTGGGTTTGTCCTTTTTCTTTTTCTTTTTTTGCTTTTATGCTGCTATGAATGGGATAGCGTTGTAAGCAGAAGGAATTGATAAGCCTATAAAGTTTATTTCATATTAAATGTGCAGTCCTTTTGTATGTCAATACTGCATTTTAAAATTTCATCTTCCCTTCGTCACGGGCAGTTTGTCTTTGTTGTTCCAAGTAACTTGAAACAATGGCATACCTATAATTTCTTAGTCTTCTCTTATCTAATATCCTAAAAGAAAATCTAATTTGTCATTTAAACAGATTTCTTATGGGCGATTCACAACAAAACCTAGAGGAAAATGTGAGCTCGACTTGTTCATCATGCAAGCAGATGGGAAAAAGATAGTTGACGCCAGCAAGCAGGAGTCTTTGTACTCACGCCTTAGGATGGAACTACTACGTCCGCTTAGAGTAGCTGTTGTGAGCAGGGGCCCTGATACAGAGCTGCTAGTTGCAAACCCCGTGGAGTTATCTGGCAAGGGACGGCCTCTTGTTTTTCATGATATTACTCTTGCTCTCAAAATGCTTGGCACTGGCATCTTTTCGGTACTTACGAATCTTGTCTGCTCTTTGTTACTTCCTACTGTTTAGTTTCCATGCATGCTCTAATTTATCAGTTAAGTCATAGTCTCCCCTAGGTGACTGGCTCAATATGAAATGTTACACTGTTTATACTTACCACATTCATAAAATTAGATAAGGCTGAGCGAAAAAAGAGAGGTAGACTTTGATCATTTATATCATGTCAATATTCTGACTAATTGTTTGGACAGGCTGAAATTGGAAGACATGTGATCAGAGACCGCGAGTGGGAAGTGTATAGAGTCTTGCTGGATGAAGGGGAGAGTTTATCGGTTCCATGGAACAAGATTGAGAAAGGAGTTTGGAAAATGTTGATGGGTTGGGAGTGATCCATCATTGGTGGCATTGTTACTTCTCAATGGACCTGTGCCTGTGTACAGATAACAAGGTTCTCAAATAGTTACTAGAATGTAAGTAGATGAAATTGTGAAATATATTGTGCAAATTATAATCTTTCCCACGTTATATTATAGAGTTTTTGTGATTCTAACTTATGTGTAGAAAGAAGGCAGTAGCAACTAGCAAGTATATTCAAACAAAAAAAGGAGGGTAGTTGGGTTGATCAAAGCATTAAATGAAAATGAAATATTGTGAAGTGGTTATATTCAGTTCCTCTGTTTATAGTAAAGTGGTCATACATTAATGGATATAAGAATTTATAGAATTAGACTAATCCTAGCACTCTGCTTGCAAATGAAGAGCATCAACTAGACAACTACCACCACGATGAACAGTTAACGAATGAATTTCTTAAAGCAGTGACACGTTTAATGGAATTCGAACGTGTTAACACTAGTTTTTGATTTAAGGAATGGAATGATGCTCTTTCTGGCCACGCTACTTTGCCGCCATCTTTAAGATATAAATTTCATCAACTACCACCAGTGATTTGTGAGCCTTTTATTGACTAACTTCTCATTGCTCTTTGTGCTTCTTCATTTTTTATTATGTCATTTTCCTTAGATGTGACTTTGACGGTAAGTTGCTTTCGATATTTTATCTTATATTATTATAATTAATAGGTTTGCTTAACTTATACTTTAACAGTTGTGCCCTACATGGATGTCAATAGACAACAGACCTTAGTTCTGTCTATAATAAATGATTCATTAGTTTATAGACACATGTTCAACTGTCTGTAGTCAATGTTTTCCGCTGCTTTTTTTCTTAGGACACGTTTCTGACTTTCTGTCATTAGCATAGCTTGATCAATGATTGGTATTGAACTTATTGTAAATTATGGGGATTCCCTGGGCATTGCAGATAAAGAAACGCTAGCACTAGTTTTGGTGTGTCATATAATTATAAAATCATTAATATAACAACTTTTTAAGTTTATGAGTGAATTTAGTTTTTTACATAATATCAGAACTGACATGATTAAATGATTATAAGTCCAATTTTCAACATTTTTATTCTATTAATAAAAATAATTAAATATTATAAATTTTTTTGGATTCCCATGCAAGAAAGCATGTTAGAGAATTATAAAATCATAAATATAATCTCACCTACCTGGTGTAACAATTTGTATTTGTAAATAACATGTTAACATCAAGAAAAACCCCATTTATTGCTATGCCGTTAAAAAATCTTCCCATAGATGTCACAAACTGGTATTATAATATTTTGTTTGTTATCATTACCATTTGTCAGCATAATATATAGACTCCGTGAAGGGACAAGATTCATGGTAATACTGGACAAAAACATTGTGTTATATTTATCTCGTGCCACTTATATTAGATCCATTTGCTCTCGTTCTCATTTTTTTTTTCTCTTGTAAAATAAAATGTCGTTGCCTTTTGGTTGTCCTTCTCATTGTCGTTATGAAACGATTAGGAAAAAAAAAATAAAACTTAAACATCAGTCAATGCACTCCACAACAAAAATGTGTCACGGATATTTTTGGGTTTTGGGTTCATCTGGCAAGGTGGAAATAACAAATGGGTCTTTTTTTAAACAAAAAATTAGACTTGCCATCGGTAGAATCTGTCAGTGTGACTGATTCACTGCTTCCTTACCAGTTATATTTTAGTGTGTTTCAGCAGATAATAATTTACGAATTGGTGGGTTCTTTTGCGATTATTTAATTTAAGCAAAGCAGAGTTTTGCTATTTATACAGACCCAGCAAGCAGTATTATTTACTGCTTTATCGGCAACTAATTGAATGATTATTGGAGGTTTACTCAAATTAGCTGGTTATAACAACCAATGAATGAGTTTGTGGTGATAAATTTAAGTTATATATATATATATATATATGAGAAAAATGTGTGTCATTTTAAAGGAGGTAAAGTTGTGTCATTTTAAGAGAGAGAAAAAGATAGATAAAAGAGGAGAGAGAGAGTTGACAAAAAAATAAAGATATAGGTCCTACCTCTTTATGAGAGTGAAAGGATATAAGTTGTGTCGTTTAAAAGGATAAACATTTCTCTCTCTCTCTCTCTATATATATATATATATATATATATATATATATATCCTACCTCTTTATGAGAGTGAAAAGATATAAGTTGTGTCGTTTAAAAGGATAAACATTTCTCTCTCTCTCTCTCTCTCTCTCTATATATATATATATATATATATATATATATATATATATGGGTCAGGATCATTTTACACCAGTGTAAGTTACACTCTCAATCTTGTCCGTTGATCCCAATTATATCTAAGGGCTTTAATTTTTTAGTAATGTGAGTCATTGGATACAAGTGGATCAATGGTCAAGATTGAGTGTAAGACTTCTAACTCTTACACTGGTGTAAGAATATCTTGCCCCTATATATATATATATATCAGTAAATTACATATATTTTATTTCATTATCAGGTTTTCTCTAGAAATAATATGATTTGGCTTAAATTCAAATTGGCGGCCAATGATGACTCATTTGAAATTTCAATGCTATATCTTTTCTTCCCTCGGTGTAATTTTTGAGTGGTATTTAAGTATTGACACAAATATATGTTCTTTCGTCTTTATTCCCTTTTAATTTGGACCACCATACGAAAATTTTGGAGTACTAATCTCTTGGAAAGTTGTGGAGAAAGTGATTAGGATTTAGGACAATATGAATGTAGAGTACAATGAACCAAATGGCAAAATGAAGAATAAAGGAATAACAATTGCAGGTTGACCATTAATACAACTGATTGTCGCAGCTTACAGTTTCCAGTATATTCCTAATTTGTGCAAGATGCCAGCAACCACCCCCCAGAAAGTGATTTCTGCAAAGATGACATATAAGATAGTTCCCACCCTCTCTGAGTGCCAAACATTGACAAACACGTGCTTCTTGATCCAATGTACCTAATTATGGTTTCATGTCCAAAAAATGGTTAGCTCCTACTCCAAGTTACTTGATATAATAGAAAGTTATATTTTGGAAAATAATGATATAATTAAAGTATAGACCATATAAAATAGAAATCAAAAGAGGTTGCTTCTTACTAGTGAGTTATTTGGACCTTCATAATACCAGCCATTTACAAATGCTGCGAAGATGCCCTCGGCTGCCATCACAAAAACTAGCATAGCATTCATTCCTATCCACTCCAAGAACAAGAATGGAGTACGAAGCCCCCAAACATCGATCTGTTTGATTATTATTAGAAGCATTAAAGAAGAAGAATACCAAAGGATTTTTGTACTAGAATACCACGCTATACCTACCAGTATGTAGAATCCAGAGAAGACAATTCCAGCTGCTCCAGCTGTGAAACAAACATAGCTGAAGCTGTAGAGTTGCTTGTTAAGTGGGATAGCTGCAGTATTCCATGAAAATTTGTGTAAGATTTATTTTGCATGCAAATGGTACATTCTTGTCTCACTAGCTTACCATCTGTAAAATGAAGTATGATGGCTATTATGAGCAACACAAACCCCATTGATACCCATTGTTTCAGTCTCTCCGAATGACCCTGTCAAAGTTTTATACATTAATAGGCCTTCACTAAATTGCATTCATAGAATAGATGTTTAGTGTGTGCAACATAGGGTAAAAAATTTGTAACCTTGAAGTGAATCAAGACGTGCCCATAATGGATGCCGATAGTGCCAGAGAGGATAGCTGATATGGTACTAGTTTAATGAAAACAAAAAAATATATTTTATTGATAGATAAATGGAGGTTATTTTTTTTATGGAATAACCCAAATTTATATATAGATAGATACAAGATAAAAAGAGAAAAAGAAAAACAAAGAGCAAACCTCAACAAGCCCTCCGGTTCAAAAGGAGCACGACACCAACTTGGAGCATCTTCACGAAAACGACCTTCGTCTGGAGAACTGAATGTGCATGCCTATATAAAATATCATATGAAAAATTAGAAGAGCAATAATAGAATCAATTTGTTTACAATAATACCAAAATATTCGAATAAATTAAGGAGCAAATCTTGTGACACAAAATGTGAACTAATAACTACTCCTAATAAGTCAATTCTCACCTTCAAGCGTTTCCAAACAGGTTGAGAATAAAGATGGTTAACCCCCCAAACTTGTCTATCCACATGCCCAACAGCGTTACATGCAGGTCCTAGGTGTCCTCTCATCCCACATATAACCTAATAAATGGAAGGAAGAACCCCCCCCCCCCCCCCAAAAAAAAAAAAAACGAAAGCTTAGTGTCAAAGTAACAGTTCTAAAGATATAACAGAGTTACTTACGACATAGAGATTAGAGAAAAAGTATGTACTGTGTATCTCTTTGGTTGGTCGCCGTTAACATGATCCACAAAACTCCAATCCGGAACATAGAGACTGAAGGTTGTGATCATGTAAATGAGAAATGCAACGAAGCCCCCAAACCTAAGCCATACGTGTATATGTACTATCAATCAAAGCAAGTTCATAATCTACATTTATCAATTCAAAGTTTGAAGTTAAATACTGTGTGTTGCTTTTTCTCACCATTGCCATTTATAGGCAGTAAAAATTGATAGGTATCCAGGGCTCAAGGTGGAGGGTCTAAGCTTGGTGGTAAATGTCTCTATTAGTGCTACAACACAGTATACAAGGGCTATTCTCTGCACACACACAAATATAGAAACGTGACTATTCAAGAAAATGTGTTGCAATGGGATTGTTATGCATTAGGCCCGCATAGATTTAATTTAATTCGATCCACACCTGGAGAATGCCACACCATCGTATAAATTTCATGTCAACTCCATATGAGAGATCATCAGGGGCATGAGAGTATCCACCTGTAGTAGTTAAATACCAAAATTTATTTATGCAATACATGTGGGTTCAATATGCATTCATATTCATATGAATCACATTCAGCTGCCAAGCCAAGCCAAATTTAAGTATATGAAAAGCAGCTCATAAACAGAAAACATTCAAAGTTTCAATGATCGAGAATATTCTAGTTTATCAGGAAGCATATAATCTCTGTTCCCAAGTTCGAATTTAATTTTCTGTTCTAGAACAGGACGTTAACCAAGAATTGTATGGTGAGTTTGAGGAATTTTGTTCACCTTGCAAAAGTATACCCCAGAAAAGAAGCTTCAATGTCCTAAGGATTATCTTCTTTACGGCATCCTTTATCTTGGGGATTCTCTGCATTATCACAGTCAAAGTTTATCGATGAACTAAAATTTTCATCATATGCTCATTATATAAAAATACTAGTTTGAGATGGTGTTGTTGATGCTGATTATATAAAGTATAACGAAAGTACTTTTACAAACATTAGAAAAAAGAGTAACATAACTTACCGAGAAAATAATTCAGATAAATTCATGAGTTTCGAATTATGATCGATATATACATGAATCAGAGGACACATAGAAAACTAGTTTATTAGGAGATGGAGAAGAGCATCTTGATAATTGAATCTTGCATAAATGATCACAATTAAATTACAAAGTTATGTAGCTTTTTAAAAGTAGTTTAAGTCTTAATTATTCTTGCAAAACTCAATGATCATGATTTGTTACTCTTAGTCATAGTAAATCAGTACCTTCTCCGGAGAAATGTGAGAGCAGGAGCATTGAATTTGACAACTGAACTATGCATGATTGATTTTTAAATTTACCATACCACTTAAGGGTTGGCTTAGTGTTTTTAATTTTATCCTTCGTGAGAAAAATTGTAGCTAGGGATTCACTGCTGTTACTTGCAGTGAACTAATGCAGTGATATTTCTTATACTATTGAGAAACAGTTTTTTTGTAGTAAAGTATGCCAGTTATGATCAACAGCTTTAAAGAAGATTGTGACCGTGCACAAGACAATTTAGAAACAAACCTCTAAGAACGTCCTGATACAAAAAAAAATCTTCGTCTAATGTAAACTAGACAGAGATTAGAGGATGAAAATATTTACATTATGTTTGATTTGTTTCTTTATTTTCATATTCAATTGACATGTTTCTCCTCATGATTATAAAAATAATATGTTATTTTACTTTTGTTATAGGCCTATATAAGAGGCTCATGTTCTAGTAGTTTCAAAAAAGAGCAATGGAAAAAGAAAACAAAAGCAAATAAAGAAAAACATCAATTAAGGATGTTAATCCTAATACGAACAACTATGAATTTGGACATTGGCTCTCAGAAAAGACCCGCAAAGCCCAGAAATTCACTACCTAAGGGTAAATCTTATAAATAAGAGGTAAAATCTACAAGTATGGAGACCTTCGCTCTATTTGTTATGCTATCATTATGTACACACACCACCCATTTGGCAAAATCGTTATTCTATGCACTTTGATTTGCTATCTCTATTCCATAGATATTTGAGAGAGCTCATAGATCCAACATAAACATTGACTAGATATCTGTGTTTTCTGGACATAACAACTTTATTTCTTGTTTTTTTATAAATTTGGAAAGGAAATTACAAGGGAAAACAGTGAAAACAATTGTTTTCACTTGTAAATTTTCGAAAGTACGAAAAACTAATAAAAATAAGGTGATCTTTTTTGTATTTATAGATAAAAATACATTAACTAAAAAAATTAAAATCAAAGGCTACTTTAAAATAATATCATGGCTACCTTTAGTGCAAGTGCTATAGCAACCCCAACAATGAAAAGAAAGAAAGGCATAACGAAATCAGCCAAAGTACATCCATTCCAGGGAGAGTGATCAATGCGCGGATAAGCTCCTCCAGCATCGTCCACCAGCACCATCAGCTACACATAAATAGCCAAAAAATACTTTAGACAATTAATTATTTATAAGCCAACATAGACTTTTACTTTTATTTCTTTTTAAAAAAGAGATTAAATATTTTATTTTATTTTTTAGGTAAGGCCTATCTAGTAAACTTGGCATAATAACCCCTAAAAAGGCTTTGGAGGAAAGAGTGAAGATCGGGAGAAAAAAAATAAAGGACATAACATGTCCCTAGAATCTAGATTAGCTAGTTTAACTAAAAAGTTTAGAGTGCACTAACCACTATGGTGAGGCCCCTAAATGCATCAAGAGTTGCAACCCTCTTTGTCTTCTGCTTAACCAGTGGCTGATCCTGTTCATCTATTTGATGGATGGGTTCATCCACAGGCTTAGCCATTGTGTCTTTGTCATGCTCAATAATATAATCTCCACTTTTGGTTTTAATGGTTTCCTGCTTCTTCAACTCATCCTTACCATCATCATTCAGTGGTGAATTGAGGCCTTCTTCAATTCTCTTAGTTTCATCCATGGCTTAATAGTGAATATTCGACAAAGTTCAAACTTATCCTTCTCTCTTGAGGTCGCATATATAATAATTGTAGGGAGAGATGGAATTAGAAGTGATAGAGAGCTCCAAACGAAGTATCTGGCCGGCAGTGTTGGCCTTGTCATCAAGTCAAGTCAATGGGGGTACGAATATATATATATATATATATATATATATATATATATATATATATATATATATATGAGAAATATTAATCTCATGTTACATGAGACAATAATTCTCTTCTATACACTCAAAAAGATATGGGTCCCACTTCATTTTTTTTCTCATTTTCCGTGCAATGGGACCCACATAAAATTGTGAGTGCAACATGAGATAAATATCTCATGTTGCATAAGAAAATATAATCCTTATATATATATATATATAGAGAGAGATAGGATCCTTTGACACCTCATATGAGAGCTATTAGATCAAAAAAGATCAATGGTGTCACATGCTTACAAATCAGAGTCATTGATCTTTTTTGATCTAATGACTCTCAGACTAGGTGTCAAGTTTCAAATTTGACACTGGTGTCAAAGGATCCTACCATTTATATATATATATATATATATATATATATATATATATATATATAAACAAGGGGTTTGCATTCATCTTGCAACATGACCATAAAAAATTTCCTATACACACAACATTTTGTGAGGCCCGCATTTTTTGAAGCAAAAAAAAAAAAACTATGGCAGGGAAAACGAATCTCTATAACATAACACAATCACTTTTCCTACAACATAACTTTTATAAAACCCATAAACAAAACTAAATAGTTTTGCTTTGACGGGAGATAAATATATCTCAAACTCTCGAGAAATATTTATATATATATATATATACACACACACACTCACATGTGGGTTAAGTGGATGTAATCTGATTGGACATAAGATTTTGTCCAGTTACATATTTTTTAATTATGTATTATGAATATTACGTAATTATAATATTAAAGATATTTTTTTAAATATATGTTACGGGTAGTACATAATTATAATATTAAAGAATAAATTGCAAAACGATACTAATATTATAATTATGTACTATCCGTAATATATAGTTAATTTTTTTTAATATTATAACAATATACTATCCGTAGTATATAGTTAAAAAAATAACTTTAATATTATAACTATGTACTACCCATAATATATAGTTAAAAATATGTGAGTATTTACAAAAAAATAATAAAAATAAAAAAATAATATGTGAGTGGACAAAACTTTATATCTAATCACATGACAAACCATTATATATATATATATAGAGAGAGAGATCATTTGGAAAAGAATATTTGTTAACACAACTTATATTATTTTACTCTCACAAAGAGGTGGGATCCGCACCTTTATTTTTTTTATTCACTCTCTTTTCCTCTTTATCTATCTCTTTTTCTTACTTAAAATAACACAATTTTACATCCTTTAAAATGACACATATTTTTTCACATATATATATATATGAGGTTTATATTTCTGCAGCTGTTGTACGTGCAACAATCAAATACTTGCCATATATATACTTGAAAGAATTAAATGCGGGGAATCATAACCATACAAAGGATGAAAGCATTAAATGTGAGGAATCATAACCATACACCTGTCATTGTTTTACGTAAAACGGCTGCAGAAATGATTTAACTATATATATATATATATATATATATATATATATATATATATATATATATATATATATATATGAGGCAAGATCTTTTGACACTAGTGTCAAATTTAAAGTTTGACACCTCATCTGAGAGCCGTTAGATCAAAAAATATCAACGACTCTGATTCGTAAGCATGTGACACATTTGATATTTTTTGATCTAACGGCTCTCAGGTCATGTGTCAAACTTTAAATTTGACACCGGTGTCAAATGATCCTGCCTCTATATATATATATGGGAAAAACTACTCTTATGCTACATGTGATAAATTTCTCTCTTACACACCCTTCGATAATTATGTCACTTTTTTCTTTTATTTTATTTTTCAGGTGGTGGAGCCCACAAATTTATCTCTATGACATGAGATAAGTTATCTCATTTAGCATGAGATTAATAAAATATATATATATATATATATATATATATATATATATATATATATATATATATATATATATATATATATATATATATATATATATATAGGTAGGATCCTTTGACACCTCATCTGAGAGCTGTTAGATTAAAAAAGATCAATGACTCTGATTTGTGAGCATGTGACACCATTGATCTTTTTTGATTTAACGGCTCTCAGATGAGGTGTCAAATTTCAAATTTGACACCGGTGTCAAAGGATCCTGTCTCATATATTATATATATATATATATATATATATATATATATTGAGGCAGGATCCTTTGACACCGGTGTAAAATTTGAAGTTTGACACCTCATCTGAGAGCCGTTAGATCAAAAAATATCAACGACTCTGATTTGTAAGCATGTGACACCATTGATCTTTTTTGATCTAACAACTCTCAGATGAGGTGTCAAACTTCAAATTTGACACCGGTGTCAAAGGATCCTACCTCGTATATATATATATATATATATATATATATATATATATATATATATAGTAGCTATATTACATAAGTAAGAGACAGATAAAGGGATCTGGAAAGAAACACAGGGAAGAGGTCGAAATAATGATATTTTATATTAGTATTAGCAGGCTAGTGAATGTCAATTAGCCGAGCCTTTACTTTGTTTCTTCTTGTTGCTCCCTCATTTCTTTAAACTTCGACTACTTCATTGTTTGCTGTCTTTGACACCATTTCATTTTCCCATCTTACGACGTAACCAAATTTTGATATTGGGAAATTCTTACCTTCAAATCACTTGGTGTATGTTTCGATAGTGGCTAGTATCGGGTCTTGCCTTGATTTGAGAAGCCCAGCTCAAGTTCAACCGAAGTAAAAGCACAAAAACTAATTCCAGGGTATTATAGATATCACAATCCATATATAATTTTGATAGGTTTGCTTAATTCGAAATCAAATCATTTTATATAGGGTTCTTCATTTCTGTTGTCACTGCTGATGGAAAAACTTGTAGCAAATGTATTTATATAAGATACGGAGCCTATATATATATATATATATATATATATATATATATATATATATATATATATATATATATATATATATTAGGTAAGTCTGAGAGGCTCTAAGGCCGAGCTTTTGAATTGGAGCCTGAGGCCTTTTATTAAACGAGTTTTTATACAAGTCCAAGCCTGGGTCCAACAATCAATTTTAGACATGTAAACTCAGGCCTTCACGAGCCGAGTCAAAGACCCCTAGCTTGTTTAGCACCCCTACCAGCAACAGATATGCTAATTATACACAAAATAATTTTGTCTTTTGATAAGTAAGCCCAATAGGGTTAATAATTACCTATGCAGAAAGTAGTGTGATATTAATGATGACCTCTTTTCCGACCTTCAGGTTTAAATTTTGAATTTGAATACTTTTTCACCTACCAATGCAAAAAGTAATGGGATATTAATACTTTTCCACCTACCCATGCAGAAAGTAGTGGTTCGTTAATACATGTGTCTTCCACTATGTATTTTGAACTATTCTTCCCACCCACCAATTTGAAATTTCGAATTTTAAAATTTTTCCAGCCTTAAAGTTCAAAATTCAAAATTTAAATTTTAAATATTAAAAGTTTAAATTTTAAATATTAAATACTTCATAGCAAATATCTTTTTACGATGCATAAGTTAGTTTGTCACTGGAACTGTTCACTGAATGATCATTCTTTTTTTAATGATTAAATTTATAATTTATTTTCTACCTTTTTTATTATCTAAGTTTAAAATTTAAATTCTTTTGTATTAAGGATACATATTAATTATTTTTATATTTTCAATAATTTTTATTTTTGTATATTGATTATACATATAAGTTTAAAACGTTTATTTTTGTATATTAATTACCAAATGAAAAGACCGAGTAACACGTATCCTATTTATACACAAAATAATTTCGTCTTTTAATAATTAAGCCCAATAGTGGGATATTGATAGAGTTAACAATTACCTATGCAGAAAGTAGTGAGATATTAATGATAACCTCTTTTCTCACCTTAAGGTTTAAAATTCAAAATTTAAATTTGAAAAGTTTAATATTTTATTAAAAGTTTAAAGTTTAAATTTTAAATATTAAATACTTAATAGCAAATATCTTTTTACGATGCATAAGTTAGTTTGTCACTCGAAGTTCACTGAATGATCATTCTTTTTTAATGATTAAATTTATAATTTATTTTCTACAGAATGATAGATGTATTTTTTATTATCTAAGTTTAAAATTTAAATTCTTTTGTATTAAGGATACATATTAATTATTTTTATATTTATATTTTCTATAATTTTTATTTTTGTATATTGATTATACATATAAGTTTAAAACATTTATTTTTGTATATTAATTACCAAATTAAAAGACCGAGTAACACATATCCTATTTATACACAAAATAATTTTGTCTTTTAATAATTAAGCCCAATAGTGGGATATTAATAAGGTTAACAATTACCTATGCAGAAAGTAGTGAGATATTAATGATGACCTCTTTTCCCACCTTAAGTTTAAATTTGGAATTTGAATACTTTTTCAACTACCAATGCAAAAAGTAATGGGATACTAACACTTTTTCACCTACCCATGCAGATAGTAATGGATCATTAATTCATGTGTCTTCCACTATATATTTTGAATTATTCTTCCCATCCACCAATTTGAAATTTTGAATTTTAAAAATTTTCCAGCCTTAAAGTTCAAAATTTAAAATTCAAAAGTTTAAATTTTTAATATAAATACTCAATAGCAAATATCTTTTTACGATGCATAAGTTAGTTTGTCACTGGCACTGCTTATTGAATGATCATTCTTTTTTTAATGATTAAATTTATAATTTATTTTCTACAGAACGATAGATGTCTTTTTTATCATCTGTCAAAATTTATTTTAAAAGATTTTGATCTACCAAATAATCTTTCAATCACAAACTCAGAAATTTTATTTTTCCGTCACATTCTTAATAATCGTAATTCCTGCATAAATTTTTT